AAGAAGCATCTCTCACCGAAAGCAGCAAGCTAAGCTTCTCTCAAACCTAGAGCCATCATAGTGAAACAAATAGTTTGGAAAAAACCAGTGAATGATCAATTTTAAGCATGCAAACTCTATCAGCCAACGGATAGACCTGTCTTTTTATATATATAAATAAATACATATATATGGAAAAACCTAAAAAACACCTATAGGCGAAATGCTACAGTGTTTCGCCTCCATCACAGACTTGCCATGTCCATGGCAGTTTATTGAACGGACCCGCAATGGACGGCGCCGTCCGTTGCGATTCCGCGTGAATGTTTTGACCTCCACGGACTTAGTATGTCTGTGACGGCACCCGCCACGGACATGCTAGGTCCGTGGTGGTCAAAAAACGCACGCGGTCTGATTTTTTCGGACAGCGATTGGCCTATGGGTGAAATCACTATAGCATTTCGCCCATAGGCGTTGCGTAGATGCTTCCTATATATATATAAACATGTGTGTGCATGTATATGCATATATATACACATACATGCCTCCCATTACTCAATGGGTTGCAAGAAGCATCTCTCACAGAAAACAATATGCTAAGCTTCTCTCATAACCTAAAGCCATCATAACTTTAGTGAAACAAATTGTTTGGAGAAAACCAGTGAGCGATCAATTTTAAGCATGCAAACTCTGTCAGCCAACAGATAGATTTGTCTTTCTCACCAATAAATAGTAACTTCAGAAAAGGGGCAAATATTTTAAAGATCCTAAAGCTCACACTTGGATCTTTTTTTTTTTAGGTAATTCAGTGGGGAAGACAAGCCCCTACCCGTTTTTTCAATAGATTGGGGAGTCACATTTTGAAGGTGTTAATTGGGGGTGTCAACGGTAGGAATGGATACCACAATGTGGTAACTGAGTGTGGGGATGCTACCACCACGACCCCAGCCCATATCTCAATAATTACTCATTTGTAGAATAGCCCATATCTCAATAAGCATATTTTTGGGATTCTAATTTCTTATTTTTGTTAGGTTGGAACCTTGATTAAAGCCCAGTGAAACCCCTACATGAAATCAGCAGATAAAGCATTTCAAAATTCAACTCAAGTTAATGCCTGTTAAGATAAAGAATAACCTTACTTCTTACATGCAACAATAAAAAAAATAAAGATAAATCCTTACACATGCATCGTCCAATGATCCAAAAGGTATTGCAAACTCAAAAGCACCTGGTATGGTGTCCAGCTTAGCCTCTGCTCCCAATGCTACAACCAACCTGGCTGCCCAGTGAAAATAGGTACAATGTAAGATGAACACCAGAATTTTCAAGTATATCTTAGATTCTAGAAAATGAAACCCACATAGGAGCGCAAATTATTGACACAGGTAATGCAAGAGTCAATGACTTAAGCCAAGACTTTGGCTTATGTAATCAAACAATTCAGTTCTTTTATAGGAAAGACAACCATAAGCATTGGAAATTCCTCCATCATAAATCTAGATCTCATTTCCATGACAACACATTGACAAGAAACTGTGTTATTATGGTCTTCAGCTGGCTAATGACATATATTACCAGTCATATTCAACTAAAACTCCACTTTCAAGATGCACAGTTCCACCACTATCCAGACCAAAAGACCCATTTTTTCTCAAGTTATCACAGGGAGATACACGTTTCACTTTATCTTGAAAGAATTGTACGCTAGTGTTAGCCAGTAATTCAGAAAAACGGGGTGCTATTTCCCATGCATCAACCTCTGCAAGTTCACAAAAAAGCAATAAATTGGAATCAAAACTCAAGACAATATTGCATAAAATGGTAAAAGTTCATTCTTTAGAAAGGGGCACCTTAGGAGCAAACTAGCATACCTCCTGAGAGAAGTTCATAAAGCAATGGTTTAAAAACGAAACGATCTGATTGATCTACAAGAAGCACCTGCACCCATTTATTTAATCAGCAGCTTCAAAAGAATCAACAATTCAAAGATCCATATACATACTATTTAGTTAAGAATCTTAAGATTCAGACTTCATGATGCTATATCCAAATATCCACAAATGAAATAAATTCAGAACTTTCATACGAATAAACCTTCACAGAGTCCAAAAGATATCCTTACTACATGAGGCAACGAATTTCATTATAGTTCTTAATATCCACAAGATATAGTATATTTAATACATTAATGTACGTATGAAGTCCTTAAGGGGATGTCTTTGAAAAGGCATTCAAGGCCTAAAATGTCCTAATAAGGTGGTCTTTGCTAAAGGCATCAAACTTAAGTGCTTCCAGTTAGCATGCTAATGAGAAAAGAAATGTAATTTCCCGATGGAAATACAGGAAATGTCATTTCTTATTTATAACCGATGTCTATTTAAAGGGAGTTAGAGATAAAAAGCACGGGAAGCCCACCTAGTTAAGCAAGATACGAATAGATCCAGACAAGCTATTGGGGAAATAAAAAAAGTTATGCATGTTTCCATAAGAACCCATCTCAGTCTGCAGGATCCTAAGATATGTTAAATCCTATGGAAGAAGAGTCCTTTTTCATTTGCCGTCTATGCATATTTACCCCTTGGAAGCTAGATGGCTTTGGTTCTCGAAGTGACACGCGATCGATTGCATTATCACCTTTAATGGAGGCAATTTATTCTCGTGGAGTAAGCAGTCCATGGTGGGAAGAGCATAAGAAGATGGCACATGCTGCATGTGAGATATTATAACATGAGCTTACATGGCCCAAGACTTTCATGACACACATGGACCTCTGGTCCACCTTCCCATACGCATTCACTGTGATCATTAAGCTTCATATTGCTTTCAGTTCAGTGATCTACGAGAGTAACAAATACATTGAGGTAGTCAATTTGTTGCTGCTATAGAGACAGGCTCTCTGAATGTCATGTTCAAGGACCAAAACTGCACGTATGAGGCTCTTGGAAGAATTTGATTATAGAGCATCCTTGCCAAGCTGGACATGTTTGACACTATGTTCTTGCTTCTCTGAGGATCATACGTGATGTTGAAAAATTGTTATCATTCTTTTTACAATGGTATCATTTATGTCATATAGCCATCTAGAGAAAGGTATTTCACTCCACCTGTAACCGATGAAACATCTATTGTCAATGGCCAAAGAAGGCAATGGTTTCCTCTCCTAGTGCAAAAAAATCATTATACTACATGAGTTTTTCCTATGTCCTTTTCAGCAAATAGACAAATCAAATGGCAACATATATAAAATACCAAATAAAGAGCTTACCACGTTTTTTGAGAATGTCAACTTAATAAAGAGCTTACCACTTTCCCTGGAGAAGAAAGAACTAGCCATTGCCAAAACCATCTGAACCAAAAATTACTTAGAAAAATATTACTATAGGATCAAGATCTCACATTGGGTTTTTTGTCAAGTGGCCATACAAGAGAGTCCAATCTTAAAGCAGTATAGAGCCCACCAAATCCCCCACCTAAAATGCATATCCGTGGCTTCTGTAAGGCGTGTAAGCAAAAGTTAATTATCTACATGTATGTAGCTCTTGGAAGAATTGGATTACAGAAGTGGTCTAAATAATATAATAAAAACATATAAAAAAATAAATTTAGCCAAAAACAGTCTGAATTGGCCAGCTCACATTCGACCAACCAGTTCAGAGTAGTTTTGACCGGTTTGGACTTGCACAATTCAGGAACCCTGAACCAACAGGTGAGGGCAACAGTTCACTAGTTCCTAGTCCAGATTGGCCGGTCATGTCCAGTGTCAATAAAATTGCTACATATAGTATCATTAAGACCAGAACTGGAGGTTGCGTGGTTGAAACAAAGAGGTTCACCAGTCAAACTCTCAAAAATTTCAAAATTAAAATTCCGGAAAAATACAAATGGGAGAAAAATTGAAAAGGACTTCCGATTTCTTATTTTTTTATTTTGCTTTTCCATTTGAACTAGTTTAGACCGGTTCAATGCCCACACCCCAGTTCAGGACCCCTGAACCGACCGGTGGGGGCAAAAGTTCACCGTCCCCCAATCCAAACCAGCAGGTCTAGTCTGATCTTAAAAGCATTCACACGTACCGAGGAATGCCACAATTATACCAATTAACTTCCATATTTGTGCTAAGGAATCCCAATGTTCATACGAGAAGATAGTAAGGAAGCATATAATGGTTTTCCTTATTTTTTAAAAGAGGAAGAGGAAGTGAGGTTGTGGTTTATTCCTTAATTTAAGAAAAATGAGTTTGAGAGAAAGAGAGAGACGGGGGGAGGGGGAGAGAGAAAGAGAGGTCACCCACGAGCTATGTTTCTTGTTTAAAAGTATAATATGAGAAAATGCCAACTAAGGAAAAGTGCTCTATGAGTCAGCGGGAGCAAGAGCCTGCTGACTCTTCAAATATGGACGTTGTGTAAAGCGCACGAGGTCCAATCAGATATGGACGGTGCCAAAAATATCACCCAAAAAAGCACATTTTAAAGTTCTTTTTTTTTTTGTCATATTTGTGATCATCTTGGCTTAGATAATGAATCCCTAAAACCTTGGATAAAAAATCCATCTTTAAGATGAATTTTAGAGGGGGCTGTACATGTTTCTATGAGTTGGCTGACTCATAGAAACCCCATCCGTCAACTAAATACAGATCTTGCAGTGAAGGATGCATGGATTAGATTGCTTCTGAGCATAATTGGCCATCTTAAATATAATACAAACAGTCAAATGAAATTTAACACCAGAAAGGCTCTAAATGTAAAGGGTAAATTAAAATTCACAAATTAAATTTGCTTGTAAGATTGCTCTAGATCATTTTCCCAAACTCAAGCATAACAATGACCTTAATATGTACTTCAAATACATTCATAGAAAATTGACAAGCAAATTCAAACCTTTGGGTCTGGCCATGCAAATGATTTAAAGCTTTGCTCTCCTTCGGTTGTCTGTCCCATCCCTTCAGGACTCTTTCCTGCACCAGAAGCAGTAGTGCAGAAGCATCCAAATGAAGGTCTTGACATCAACGAGAAATGAGGTCCATTTCTAACAGTAGACCTCAAAAAGACTCTTTGGCAAAATCCTCCCCTTCCTGAAAGAAATTCCTCATCAACTTCCACTTTGCTCAAAGAAAATGAAGGGATCCACGCTAGATTCAAACAATGGTCACGTACGAGGATCCTTCTTAATACAGATGGCCAAGTAAAAAATAACAATATTCAGCACTAAAAAGCAGAACCAAACAAGACTGTTTCTCAGTAACAAGTTGAGTGACTAATCAAAAAAGTAGTTGCCTCTGGTTTCCCATAATTGACGACAACCAGAAATGGGTGTTGAAACAACACCATAGGCTATTGTTTTAGGCATACGATTACAAAATGGATTTGATCCCATGAGTTCTCATACTGTTGTTTTCACATGAACCACCACTAGAAACATAATCACTTCACCCTTGCTCCTTCTTAGTTACTAGAGTGTAGAAACAAGGGATAGTGGTGCAGCTCTAGACCTCATCGGGTTATAAATAATTTAAATATGTTTTCTTTTTATGTTTAATAAAGATGTTTTTCCTTTCTCTCTTTTGCCACTTAATGGCTGCTTATCAACCAAGGCAATTTCAGGTAACAATACCGAAGGTGTAAAAGATGGAATTAGAGAAGTAGAAATTTTCATTTGGTAAGCATATATTTTAACAATCTCACAGAGGATAGAGAGAATAACATCAAACTCTTCCAGAAATTGTGTTGGCGAAGATGTTTTCATAAACATCTTTTGAACAAACTATACATACTGGTCCAGTGGTTTTCCTCTTACAATGGCATACAATGGATACAAGCCCAAGACTTTTGGTTTTGTTGTTTACAGTTCACATTTAAAGCATCTCTGAACACAAGCATTAAAACTCCACATCAAAATCCGTGTGAAACTAAAGCATATCCACTTCCACCTTACCTAATGCATCTTGTCAAGGAAGTTGCACAAAAACCAGGAACAAGTTCATCTCATCTAAACCGGCTATTCTTGATTTTGCTTTTTTCTTTTCTTTTAGAAAAAACTAAGGTAAAGATAAAAAAAAAAAACAAATGAGAAGCCATGATAATTAGGACATCGAACAAAATGGGAAGGAAGAGAGAGAATAAAAAAAAACACAAATCGAATACCAGTTCAACTCATAAAATGCAAACTATGATTCAAAGAAAATGAGTTACTAATGAAAATAAAGGGGAGGTATTACTTGTAATAGCAAAGGGCACCATAGAGGAGAGAGAAGTAATGGCCATTGCAGAGGTGACAATACCAGTACAACTTGCAAGCTATGATTCAAAGAAAATGAGTTAATAATGAAAAGAAATTGGAGGCATTACTTGTAATAGCAAAGGGCACCATAGAGGAGAGAGAAGTCATAGCAGGGGGAACAGAAGCTCTTTCTCTCTCTTCGTGGCGTTGCTTCCACCATGTCTGTCCCTCTCTCTCTCTCTTGTTTCACCATCCGTCGCACGTGCATACGTGTGAGGTTTTGCCCCATGTGTTACGGCCACCGCCTGAAGCAATTATCGAAAGTATTTTCACATTAATAATTCCCTATGTGAGACTATTTTCGATTACCACCGTTTATATACTCATATATCTAATCACATAAGGGATTTTTTTTTTTACCTGGTTTCTATGCGGCTAAGCTCGAACATGTAGAAATATGGGCTTATTAATAAATATATTTCTGAGATGGATTTTTAAGACTTAAATTTTAAGGACATGTAATTTCTAACATGGATATTATGAACAAATAAGTAAATTTTAAAAATTAAAAATAGTAGTAAGAAACATTTTGACTGTTAATTTCTATTGTTTATAGATGAAACACCTACTTACATCTATCTTTAGAGGGTTTGTTAGGCGACATTTAGATAGTTTTATCCTATAGTATAGTAACTTTTTGTTTAAGGGTATTTCAAGTAATTAATCAAAAGTAAACTAAAAATTCTTAATAGAAACAGCTTTATTAACAATAGTGGACAATAACATCATCGATATGGTGTGTGAAATTATCCACATGATGTATTAATTGTTTTAAACTACTAATAAAATGCCACTATTTTTTTATAAAAATATCTATTTTACCTTTTTAAATAACCAAAAATGCCGCTACTTGAAAAATTTTGTATTACAATTTAAGGATATTTTAGTGTCAAAAAATGTTAAGCCCAGTAAGAGTCTACACTACCAAGTGGTATAGCCTAATAAAACCCATATTTAAAATGGATGCTTTACCCTAAGAAAACCCATACTTAAAATGGTTGCTTTACACTTTTTGGACCACATATATAGTCATGATCCAACGCCTGCAAGAAACAATTTTCCATTTTTTCTAGATAAATTTGGTTTGAGATTTTAGATATTTTTCAGGTGTAAGAGGTTTCTTTCTTGCATGTTTTTAAAGAAGCTGATGAGAATTGAGGATGAATTGACTCAGCAAGGACTCCCTAGACGTGTGATTAAATACGCAAGGACTCTCTAGACATGAATTCACTAAGCAAGGACTCTCTAGACATGAGTGTTGACTAAGCAAGGACTCTCTACATGAGTGTTTTTTTTTTTTACTTTGTTTGAATAATATTGTATATTTCTGTTTTTATGCACAAATTGACAGTAATGTTCCTGAAAAAAAATAGAGGGGATAAAAAAAAATACGCATTATACCTTTTTTTTTTTTTCTTTTTTTTTTTATCTATGCCTAAACTCATAAATCAAATTTTTATCACGAGTTGATTTAAAGACAAACTACAAAAAAAAAACAGGAAAACTGAAAAAAGAGAAAATTACGTAAATGTCTGTTTGAGTTTCCCTTATTACCAAAATAGTAAATACTTTCCGTTATTAGTTATATGTCTGTTTTTTAAACTTCATGACACTTTTTTTAAAAAAAAAGAAAACTAACCATTTTCGATTTTTCAAAAACCAAACAATTTCGGCTTAAAATGTTCGTATTCTCTCTACCTCTTTAAAGTCATAGTTATCCGATAAAATCAAAGGGTAACAATTAGTTGGAGCCATTAAATTTAGGAGAAATCTAAAAGATTATGAAATTAGAAGATTATGAAAAATCTTGTAGCGTATTCTCTCTCTATCTCTCTGAAGTCATAGTTAGTCGATAAAGTTATGGCGGACAACTAGTTTGAGCCCCTAAATTTAGGAGAAATATCAGGGATTATGAGATTAGAAGATTAGGATAAATCTTGTGGCGTATTCTCTCTCCACCTCGCTTGTGGCGTTTTCTCTCTTTTCTTATGTATTCTCTCTCTGCCTCTCAGAAGTCAGAGAGAGAATTAAGTCAGAGGTGAAATTTAGCCAAAAAAAGATATCCAGATCAAGCCAAATTCCTCTCTCAATACGCTAGGTGAAATTTACCCAAAAAAAAAAGAGGTTGGGTGAAGGGGACGCTAGGTGAAATTTACCCCAAAAAAAAGGTTTGGTGAAGGGGAAAGAGAGTTAAAAAAAAACCATTTTACCAATGTAAAGCAAAGAGAGAGGTAGAGAGAGAATACGTAGAGGACCCACAAGAGAGAAAAAAAAATTGGTTATTCAAAAACCCAAATTTGCTTGATTTCGATTTTTGAAAAATTGAAAATGGGTAGTTTCGTTTTTTTGAAAAGAAAAGATTGTTATGAAGACCAAAAAATAGACATATCAATAATAATTGAAAGTATTCAGTATTTTGGTAATAATAGAAACTAAAACAAATATTTACATAATTTTTCCAAAAAGAAGTCACATGGGAGCTTCCCAAATTGCATCTTTCTCATTAAGTGAGAAGCTCGCGCTTTTGTGGTGACATGGAGGTGTGCATCCAATCCGAGTAGAGTTGAGTATCGTGGTCTGACTACTTAAGGTGTATTATTTTTTAGGAAAAATTACATACATATTTGTTATAGTTTATTTTTGTGTTTGTTTTTTTTTATGTTAAAACAAAAATTTTAAAAAAAAGATAACTTTATTTTTTCTGGTTATTGAATAACTGAAAATTTAAATTTTGGGTTCTTCAAAAACTGAATTTTTTTTTCTCTCTTGTTGGTTTGCATATCCTCTCTCTCTACATTACATAGGTAAAAATGTTTTTTTAGACTCTCTCCCCTTCAACGTCTATTTTTTTTGGGTAAATTCATAATCCTGATATTCCTTCTAAATTTAGGGGCTCAAACTAGCGGTTCCCCTTTGATTTTATCGGATAACCATGACTTCAAAGAGGTAGAGAGAGAGTAAGTCACAAGATTTCTCCTAATCTTCTCATCTCATAATCCTTAAGATTTTTGCTAGGGGTTCAAACTAGTTGTTCCCCTTTTATGGATAACTATGACTTTAGAGAGGTAGAGAAAATACGCCACAAAAGAGAACAAACATAATTGGTGTATTTTCATTTATTGAACAACCTAAAATACTTTGAATTCGGTTGTTCAACAACCGAAAAAATGGTAAAATCATCCTTTTTTTTTTTAATTTCCATTTTGACATGAAAAAAACGGACAGAATGATAATAACGAAATTATTTGGTAGAGCCATAACAACAGAAACTACAACAGATATATATGTAATTTTTCTTATTTTTTATATTTATTCTATTAATCATTTGGAAGGAAAATTTGAAGTGTATATATATTTAAGAGGGACACATATAATAAAAATAATAAGTATTTATGACAATAAAAACTTAAGACTTTCAGGCGATTTTTGGTCTTTTTTTTTTCATTTTTTTTTTTGGGCAGGTGCACCAATAAGATGGGATGCCCCAAATTTTATTAAAAATGTTTTTTTTAGAATGGAAAAACAAAGTCAAACAGTATTTTGATGTGACATCATGAGCAACCTCAGCCATCCATTCGGTTTGAACGGCTGAAAAAGGGGTCACATATACTTCATATTAGGTGGAGTCACATACAAAGCTAAAAGGGGACTTTTAGATGGCAAAATGTTGTAAAATGCTATTGTTTATGAATTTGTAATTGGCCAATTGTTAATTCTGCCAAATCTTAATTGCGTTATATGGTCAATTTGAAATTATAAAGTGTTCTTTCGTACGGTAGTATTGTATAACATTTGTAGAGGTGGCAATGTAACGGTGCCACTTGTGATGAGTGGTGGTGCCGCTAGTGGTGATGGAAAGGCGGAGTAGTGGCGTTGGCATTGGTGAAATGATGCGGTAGTTGCGGCTAGATGCCACATCGTGGTGGTGGTGGTGGTTCTGATGCAGTGAATGGTGGAACAATAATGGTTGTGTAGCGATGAGTGATAGTAGAGGTGGTGTGCTGGTGGCAAGGTGATAAACTGATAACGCTGGTGGTGTGCGGGTGGGGTAGAGAGAGGGAGTTTTTTACAAAAACAACTTATTTTGGGTGTCAATAATAATTGAGAATCAATTCAAATTAGTGAATCAAATATCATTTGATCATTGAGAAATTTTCAAAATAGGCCAAAAAATAGAATTTGGCTATGAAATGGAACGATCAATTAGTTTCTTATAAATCATATCCATGGGCAATTATTTCCCCATGAATATGCGAGATGGATAATGAGCTAAGATGTTATCCAGATTGGACTGGCCATGAGTCGATCGGGGATATGGAAAACCATCCACCCTTTTTCACGTTTCATTTCATTTGACAATGAGCTAAGATGTCATCCAGATTGGACCGACCATGAGTCGATCGGGGATGTGGAAAACCATCCACCCATTTAAGTTGCAATTTTCGAAGTTGTAAAATATATCTGGTCACATAGAAATCTCATGTATTATATCTTCTAAACCCCTCAACCAATTTTATCTATCTTTTTAGTGCAAACAAAAGTGAAAAGACATTATTTTCTTATTCATTTCTAAACCTCCTCTTTATCGGGTGTTTCTCCCCAAACCTCTCCGTTTTTTTCAATATTAAAAAAAGATGTGGTTTTTATAAAGTTACAACCTTAAACAATCCAATTAAGACGCACTTCCAAATTTTATCTTGTCATGTAATTTTGGTATAAAAAATACTTAGGATTATCTCAAAATCCATTTTCATATCTAATTATACAATTTTAAACTCTAAAAGTGGAAAAAATCAAGTAGATCTATAAATATATGAAAATCTTGAAAATGGACGTCTAGATAATATGTTGCAAGATGCAATATTTTTGGGACTCAATTTTTTTTTTCATATTCATACATCTCAATGTTGAGATGATCAATTAGAGGATTTTTCAATATTAAAACAACATTTTCTAATAGATTTTCGAGGTATATCTTTAATTCTACATTTTAAGGTTGCAACTTTATATAAACTTTTTCCTTAAAAAAAAGGAATGTTTTCAAAAGACATTTTTCAATATTAAAAAAATAAAAAAAATTGGGAAATCACCGGAAGTGAGAGAATATGATTTAGAAAAAAATAGAAAAAATAATAAATAGGATATCTATAGTGCAAGATATATTTTGAAACCTTGAACCTATTAAAAAACTCAAACCTAAAAAGAAGGTATACGGTGATATTTTTTTATTTTATGAAAATATAAAAAATACAAATAATAATTAAAAAATATGTACTATATTAAGAAAGAGATGTCCAAGGCCGGTCAAACATATAGAAATTGACCAGTCAAACTGGCTAAAACCAATCAAACACTTATTTGATTGATTTTTTATTATATACCCAATTTTTTGCTTTGGACCAAACCACCTAAAGCACCGACTAACAGTCTAACCGGTCGGACCCCCGATCCTATCCTGATCTTGATAATTATGATTACTAGAACTAACGACCAATCAAGTCAGCTAAAAGCAATCAAACACTAATCTTGATTGATTTTTTACTATATACCCATTTTTTTGATTTGGACCAAACCAGCTAAAGCACCAACCAATAGTCGGACTGTCAGTCTTTCCTGGTCTTGATAATTATGACTACTAGAACTAGGTGGACAAAGCCCACTCTCCTTTTTCCATTACAACCACGAATTTGGTTGAACCGTTGGGCTTTGAACTTGGAAGTTGCAAGTTGCGCAAACTAGGTGCTAGCAAGAGGCCCGAGACCCTATATGAGTTTTCTCTATGGTGTATAGTTCTATAAGTCGAACCAAATCTAATCTGAATATAGGATGTTCATTTGGGCTCATCTTCCCCTCATTTTCTTTGCAGTAATGTATTTCTCTCTGGGTATCAACTTTATGATGATTGAAAAGGATCTGCTTGGGGGTTTAACACAGGCAGAGGGGATGGAAAGAGAGAAGGGGGGAGATTGCGAACATAGTGATGGGTATAAAATAGGAGGCCAGAAGAGACAAGGTATAAAATTAAGGGTGTGAGAAAGACAATTGGAAGTGAAAAAGCGAGGAAGGCTTCAAGGAGAAAGGAAACAGGCCAAATAAATAAGTAATTATTTCATTCCCTCGATAGTAAACGGTTCTCTAAGAAACAGTTCTTGGTTGTTAGCAAATTACATGGATACTGGTTGAGACACCAGAATCACAAATATGAATAAGTGCCGTACCGAACTACCGAACCCAATAGTCCTTGGAGAGAGAGAGAGAGACCAGCCCTATGGTTTGATGGATACTCCACAGTTGCACGGCGAATAATCTGAGGTTGGCAGCACATCGAGGGAGCATATAAATTGTTGAAGCTTCATGAGGTGCTCCATCACCTCCCGCTAATATCATGCACAACCCATTCATCGTGCAAAGAAGACCAAAAGTGTAAAACCAGAACTCATCCATGTGCAGAGACTATTGCAGATGAACAAGATGGTCTTTCTTCCCAATTCAGATAACAACTGCATGCCTACCAGACAATGGAGCTTGTAAATTCAAAGAGATCCCATCATTGATGTGAAGCAATCAACTAATGTTGTTGTCAAATAATTTTGAGTTAGAGATGTCAAGACAGAAAAAGCTGGAAGGAATTCTAATTCAAAATTAACCAAAAATACTTTTAACGGCACCTTCATTCTCCATGACTAGTGAAGATCTAAATTCCAGCTGATTCACCAAAATAAGCTCAGGGTTCAAAGAATTGATAAGAGTGAGCTAGACAAGAACTACATCGAGATATCAAATTACAACGTGACTGCATAAAAATGAAATTAGCTTGGTGTTTTTCTTGGTGCTTTTAAGTGGATAGTGGAAGTATTGTACCTTAGAACCGCCTTGATTTCTGTTGAGGGTATCCAGTATTTGGCATCCCCATTCCGGGATCCTTCCTTCGCAACTATTTCAGAGCCCAAGGACAGCATCAGTGTGAGAGAGACAGAATATTGGAAACACTTGAACTATAACTAAAAAGAAATGATTCTGAATGATATACCCAAAGAACATTGCTCTCTAAAGTATACCATAATCCTATGAACTAAAGTAATAGAATTAGGATAAAAAATAGAATCATAAAGATAATCTCCATACCATATGCCAGTGAGTAGCACTTCATAGCAGAGTCCACTAGCACACAATATACTTTCAAAGAAAGGAAAGAGACAAGCAAAGCCTAGTGATAATTAGCAATGAATTGAGATTAATAAACAGTGACAAGCATCCAACCTGTTGTTGATGAGCTTGAGAAGCAGCACGAGGCATAGGAATGTTATTAGGGTTTAAGCCTGCCATGCTTGCTTGAGAACTCAGATTAAAGGCTGCAATGCCTGGTGCACCCGGCATCCTTGGCATGCCCACCATAGGCATTTGGCGAGGAACAGGCCTAGCAGCGACTACAGAAGGAGCTGCCAGACTCCCTGAAACTGCATTCCCTGAAGATACCTGGACTTCAAAAGAGCAATACATTTAGCAGAAAGCCCAAGTTGATCTTAACTGGTAGATGTGAATTAATACACACTGCATGAAAAATTCAATAGTTGTGAAGTGGATTCTGTTAAGGTGAACTATAACCATGGACACTTGACTACAGACACCACAAGGGGAGAGAGATGGCTCGTAATTGTGATTGTCCCCTGTTCGGGTGGATCCCACTCTTCCATCACTGTACAACATTTCATAGTTCATGAACCCAATGGACTACAACTTTCCAAAAAGCTGCCATACAAAAAACATATTCCATACACTGGGGGAAAAGAATCATTACACCAACCATTGAAATTAATGGAAGGTGAATAAAAGGGTGGAACCCACCAGAACAGGAGATGACCCGAGTCCTCATCTCTCCATCACCATCAATCAAATTATCTCATGGTTAATGTCTTAATAACTGCATAATTATTTTTCATAGTCCACCGAAATATAGCATAATATTACTAGTTTCCATAAATAGTACAACTCATTAGATACAAATATAGATGCATTCGGTTAACCAACAAATATGTTCAAAACCTTGGAAAAGTCTATGGGCAAATACTGAACAACTTCACCTGCCCCAATTTTGTGGTTAGGAATATTTTCTTAGGGTAACTTTTTGAGGATGGATCCTCTTGATTATAGCAAATGTCCCCCATTGGGGGAAAAAAAAAAAAGGGCTAAATTGCTTCATGCCCCCAAGTAAAAGATAACCCACATGGGACCCCCCAATCGAAAAAGTCTTCACGCAACCCCCCCCCCCCCCCCCCACGAAAATACTCCTTACTATGCCTATTAGGACAAAAACACCACTTTGTTCATTAAACTATTTTCTTCTGACTTTTGAGAAAACCGCTCAATTTTCTGGCAGAGAACTGAAACCCATCCATTTTCCCGGAGACCAAAAGGCCATTTTTGGGCCAGAAGTCTACATTATCAGCTGCCTCTCTTCGATTCATCTGACTGCGCTCTCTCTCTCTCTCTCTCTCTCTCACACACACACACACACACACCCACCACATTTGTATTTCTCATTCTCTAATTCTTATCTCTTTCTACGACTGTGTTGCTGAGGAACCGGTGGCCTTCCATGGCTGCTCCTATGCTCACTAGAAGCTGCACACCCTTCTTCTAGCTATAAATTCATGTTACAGCAATGTCCTCTTCGGCTTCAACATATTTCTCCCTACCCAAAGTGCTCTCTCTCAACCTCTCTCTTTGCAAAAGAAGCAAACACATATTTTTCGGGCCAAAATCCTCCTCTTTTTTCTCTTATCCTGCAATTGTTAACTATGCCAAAGAAGCTGAGAAAACTGAAAACCATCACAGGCTAAAAGGCTTTCAGTTGCAGGATTGGAAACAGAGTGAAAGCGCTTGATGCTGCCCTAATCAAAAGAGAAAGGATTGGGACCCAACAAAATAATTTCTCTTCTTTCAACAAGAAGAAATGAAGTCAAATAATATAGGGAAAATTATAGAAACCCCCCCAATTTCAACTTTCTACACATCCTACCACCCAATACTTTTCGTATTACACCCTAAACCCCAACACTATTTTTCCTTGTATTTACCCCTCAGTCAAATAGTTAAAACATTTTAAGACCAAAATGCCTTTTTTCTCTCTCTTCCCCTTTTCAACCTATTTTTTTATATTTCTCTCAAACTCTCTCTCTATTTACCCAAAAAAAGTCTCACCTGTCCTCTCTCTCTACCTGTTTCTCTCTCTTCTCTCTACCCTCCCTCACCTTTTTCTCTCTATCGTTCTCTCTCTACCCTCAATGGGATCCGTAATGTCGAAACCTAGGACTAGTATAGCTTAGAGAGAGAGAACTCATTAGGATCATTCAGAGTGAGAAACTGATTTTTGCTTTAGGATGCTCTTTGGCCTATCATTCAAAGACTTTACCTTGAGGTCCTTCTCTCTAATGCTCCCCTTTGATGAGAGAGACTTTGGGACTGCTTGTGCCATTGAAAACAGAGCAGCATTGAAAATGGCAATTCTTATTATTTTCGAATTTTCAGTAGTCCGTAGCTGATCATGGGTTCTCATACCCTGGAACTCACCGAAGAATTTTTCTGCTGAGTTTTTGGCCTATTGAGCCTGACCACTATCTTGGTTTTGGGTTTTCTAAGGAGGTGGAATTCACGTTTTTTATTTGGGTTTGGGTTTTCTACAGAGAAAGAGTATTGGAAAGGGAGAGATCGAATTCTAGTTCTGATATGGGTTTTGCTTAGAGAGAGTATTGGAAATATGGGTTTTATTTAGAGAGATAGTGGGTTCGTTTCTGATATGGGTTTTGTTTATAGTGGAGGGGGAAGAGATGGAATTGTCATTTGGATTTAGAGAGAGAGAAAGATGGGGGAAATGGAACTCCAGTTCTGATGATATGGGTTTTGTTACAGAGAGAGAGAGAGACGTAAAATTCATTATTCTGGTTTCTGTTATGGTTTTTATTCATGTAAGGGGCACGCTCGGCTCTTTGCAGGTTGGGGCTCCTCCTGAGGTGGTGAATCAGCTGGAAGAGGTTTGCGTAGCCCCAGCAGCCACCTCCAAATCCTCTTCAACAATAGAAAGGGCAGGTATAGAGAGAGGTAGAGAGATAGGAGGGTCGAGAGAGAGAAAAGATGAGGGAGGGTAGAGAGAGAAAAAGTGAGGGAGGGTAGAGAGAAAGAGAGATAGGATGGGTAGATAGAGAAAGTAAGAGAGAGGGTCACATGTCTAAAAGGATAAAGAGAGAAAAAAGGGATGAGAGGGAAAAAGGGCATTTTGGTCTTAAAATGTTTTGACGATTTGAATGGGGGGTTACATACAAAGAAAATTAATATTGGAGTTTATAATACAAAAAGTATTGGGGGGTAAGATGTGTAGAAAGTTGAAATTGGGGGGTTTCTATAATTTTCCCAATAATACACAGACACACGCATGCAAGCGCGTGCGCACACACACATATATAGGCAATGATTTCATGTAACCATTGTATAATAATATGATGCAATAATCTTAAAAAACCATCTTATGGCCATTTGTTTGATCCAAATTTTGAAATATACACTCTTTTCATTCTAATGAACAATCACAAAAAAAGAAAAAATTGAAACACAACCTATAAAGTATTTTTTTAGCTCAGTTAACATAGGCCGTTCATTTTGGTGAGATGCTTAGATCTAGGCCTAAGAAGGATTTTTTCATTTCCAATTTTTTTGGATGGCTTTATTATCATTAGATGAACAATGTTAAAAAGGCAAAAAAATGATTTTGAGTTTATAAAGGCTAAGATCTTGAAATTCACAAAATGAATGGTCTAGATTCGTTTTTGGAGGGGACTCATTTTGACCATATCTAGTGTTCAAAATGAACTTTTCTTTTTGGGGGATTGATTATTGAGATGAAGAGAGTGTGTGTGCAAAATTTGGGGTCATACAAATACCACAAACATGGTTTTCTAGAAATATCGTCGCATTATACTATAATACAACCATTGCATTGGATCATTGCTCCACATATATATATATATATATATATATATATATATATATATATATATATACTTCTTCTTTCTTTTCTTTTTACTTT